GGATGGTATCGGAGCAGAGCACGATTAATTAAAAAGAATTGGCATTATAAATTCAACAATTGATTGATTAATTTTTTTGAACAAATTGTAAGATATTACTCGTTATTTTTTATAAAATTGTGTCACGAATCTCGTAACTCAGCTATACAATTGGCCATAAATAAATTATAAATAAGACATAATGCTAATTTAGTTATGCTAACCTAATTATGCCAATCAAATGAGACCTTTACTCGAGGCTTAATATTTACCGTATATTATATAGTTTAATAAAAATTAGTTAATAGTCATTCTTTTATGGTGCTAAAGGCTAAAAGCACATATTTCTTCTTAAACACCAACTTGAAACTTTCCCACACGTTTTATTTACTTACACCTTATATTATTTATTCGTCAATATATGTATATATATATATATACATATATACATATACATTTCATGCAAATTGGCAGAGAGTTGAGCTGAAAATGTAAACCTCGTCAAACCCATTCCTGCAAATATGACAAATTTCGAAACCAGTTTATTACTTATGCTCAAAATGAATCAGAAAAAATTGCAGACACATGCAAATATATATAAATATATACACACACAATCACGTGTGTGTGTGTGTGTGTGTGTGAGAGAGAGAGAGAGAGAGAGAGAGAGAGAGAGAGAGAGAGAGAGAGAGAGAGAGTTACCCAGCCTTCCTGCAATATGTGGGACTATGATTATAAATAAGGTTATCGAGCACTTTCCAGGGAGATGGCTTAGGCTTGTTCTTGGCGGATATCCGAGCCTCCCTGAGAGAATTGTTAAGGAATTGACTACATACACACTTTAGTGATAATTAAGAAGTGAAACTACAATTTTTGTAATATGGCCCAAATAATGTTTGCCAGCCGAACTTCAATGCATTATAAACAGGGGCGGATCTTTTAAGGGGCAGGGGGGGCTTTTAGGTATTTTGGTATTTTAATTTTGAATATTACTTTTGACCCCCTAAAGTTTTTGTAAATATGTATCTTAACCCTTAACTTTTTTTTCTTCTCCACAATCTTATATAAATATTTTGGTTAAATTTGTATTATTTTATATAATATCTATGAATATTTACTTATTTTGGAATTTTTTTATCGGTGTCTCTTAAAAATAATATGAGATGATGCCATTAATCTCCAAAATATTTAAGTGCAATGCATTAAGATTTTTTTGTAATGCTTAAAATATGATAAAACTATAATATATATGCTATTTTAATTAAAAAATTATCAATATAAACTTATTTTTGCTATATCTTGTGAACCTAAAAATTTTTTCGGGGCGCTGCCCCAAACCCCGAAATTTTAGTTAGCCCCCCCTATATTTTGATCCTGGTTCCGACCCTGATTATAAATATGTTGGTAAATACACGAACCGACGAGAGCTTGAGGTACTTACTCTACATAATCATAGAATGCCAAAGAGCTAATTAATGCACAAACTTCGACTGAAATATTACCTCACAAAAAAGTCGGCAACGTGTTGAGTGACATGAACTGCATCTTCCGAGTGTGGAATCCCTGATAAGCCCCACTCAAACGCATTTTTCTGGACCAGATATGCCAAATTTTGTCATTTTCAAACAATTTTTTTTAATAGAGATAATACCTCTGGATAGCACTGAACAGCAGTCACCGGATATTTGCGTGCTTGAACCATAGGGCTGACACAAATTGATCATACGAGATATGATTAAGGATAAATCTTTGGGGAAACAAATTTGAAGTTAGATAAATATCCTGTAGAGGTGGTTCCTTAGATACCTTGCCGTTTTTATCTGTACTAGTTGCTAATATCTTGAAGAAACTATCCAGACGTGCGTCCCTTCGGAACTTCGAAGGTAGAGAAGAGAAGGATTAATTTTATTTTATTTTTGATGAAGACGGAGAGCATTTTCGACTTCTTTCCAGCAGAGAGCAGAAGCCCCGAAAGAGGGAAAAAAAATTACACCCCCCGAATAAGAGTATTAATGCCCCTTGAACTTGATTTATTTTTACCAGTAACTGTCATACATTTCATGAAACATAATGAAGCCAGTACGCCGAAGGCTTAAAATTGCAGATTTGGAAGTTTTGGCTGCTTGCAAATAAGATAGAAGTATATGACAATATTTCGTTTATAGGGTAACCTACTTTTTCTTGTTTTTGAGGAGTTAGGTGTGGGGGGTACGAGCAGTAAAAATGTCATTCAAAGTGCTTAAAGGAACTTATCTTAATGCACTCACATCATATGAAAACAGAGGAATGTGAACTTACACTATGATTTTGCATAACCAGGCTTTTTGTACTTAGTTTATTTCGCAAAACCTCAGGGAACCTGAGAAAGGAAATTGATATCTTTGATTAACAATACCAATCTACGATAGCAGAATAAGATATAATCAAACCCTTGTGGAAAGTGGAACGAGAACATCAGGCTTGAAAGATATAATGCATCTCTCAATGGGAAGCATTTTGATTAAACAATGATAAATTTAATGCAAAAGTAAATCACAAGAATCATTACGCGGTTTATCATCCTGTAATAATCAATCACCATTCTAATCCACAAAATTTGGAAACGAAGTATCAGATTCAAAGGTGGAAATTAAGACGGACACTGCGCACATAAGAAATAATAACATAAATTCATCTAATAGTGGTTAACTTCAGCTCCAACAGCCAACAAATGTACCAGCCACTAGAAAGTTAGAAGTAACAATTCATGAACTCTCAAATATGGTTGCATGGAAATTGCATCATAAGAATCTACTAAATTTTTAACAACTGTATATATGAGACTTAGATGGAGAAATTGGCATGTCAAAATCATCATTAAAATGAATTGGAATAGTAACATCGACTAAAGTTGAAATACTTCCATTCCAAAGCAAACTGAAAACTTGTCATCAAATTAGGTGCAGTTATTACCTTTGAAATAAAGATCCATTGCCATTCACATCAGGTTTTTTCATAACTTTGAAATTTGAAGCGTGATTTTTTGCGTTGAATTTGTCCATGATGTTTTCGTCCTGAACACTAATAAAATGGTAGGGTTAGATAGAACAATTAACACGTCGAAGCTGATCAAATAAATCTATGGTTGAAGGAACTAACTGTAAATTAGAAATCATAGCATAGTCTAAAAGAGGTTCAATGCAAGAAAAATCCTAAGAAATCATGGCCAGTTCATAAATGACTTTTTAATATATAAATCTCATAAAGCTCGGGTCGACATGTTTTCCAATGATAATGACACAAATATATGTATGCATGCATGCTACGAGACGGCTTACCTCACTGACGATCATGGTTAATAGTTCAAAACCTAAGCAGATGGCAAGCAAAGGGAAATGATGCCCGGCATCATTCTTTCTCCGAACATTAATCTTGCAAAAAAACAGTCGTAACCCATACATAAGCTACTTGAAAGGCACAATTATGAAGGAGAGAAAAAATTGGTTACAATTTTAGCACAAGTACTCGAGATTGTGAATCAATTACCTCAAATATCGACTTAACAACGTCAAAGTAGACACCGCTTTTGGCAGTAAAGATCACTCCATTGACCAAATTGAGTTTCTGCAGCATAGAATTACAAAGTTAACTCTTGCAATCTGCCAATTCATCATAATAGAAGAAATACCCAATCCCTAATTATCTAAGTAAATCCACATAATTAATCACATGATCCGAGAGACTGAGAATCGAGTTTACAAATGTATGCATAGATTAACAAACCATATAATACATTAAGCAACAAACACAAATTATACACATAATCACACAGTAAGCAGTGATTTACCTCGTTACGAAGCTCCAAGGGTTCGTTGTAGATGAGGGGGATAACCCTAGCACCGGCGGCGATGTACGAGGCGTCGGTAGCGTTGCCGAGGATTCCGATGACCGGACCGAAGTTAAATTTGAGGACCGCCGGGCGGCACCGCAAGGAAATCATCGGTCGGAGCCCCCCGTACTGGACTGAGCGGCGGTGCCGGCGATAGAGGACAGGGGAAGCGGTGGGAGAGAGGATGAGGTGGTGCTGGAATCGTTAGATTTAATCGCGATGGAGGCTGAGGGAGGCGGCGGAGGAGCCATTGACGGTGGTGGTGAAAAAGGAAGAGGAAACACGTCGACAGGAGCAGTGGAAATGGTTTTGACATTGCCGAATAGTTTCGTTTTATAGTTCTACAAAATTGGAGAAATGCACACACTAATTGTGTGTGTGTGTGTGTTTCTGATGACGAAGGTCGCACCAGTACGGCGAAAAGACGGTGGCGTGCGTCGGAGAATGGGAATAAAATATTGATTTCTTTTTGGTGAATTTTTTAAAGTCATTTCCACTGATTTTTTTTATTTTTATTCTTTCTTCTTTTTTGTGGGACTCTCTGAATTATTAATTAAACTTCATTCAGTTTTAATTTTTTTGTTAAAGATTAATTGCAAATATCAGAAGGGATATATAAATAATAAATTTCTCCTTTTTAATATTACAATAATACATAAACTAAAATAATAAATAAATACAATAACATTAGCAAAACTGAATAACATAATAACTCCCCATGCAGTTAAACAGGCTGCCATCATCGAACGCGTAGCTGAACGCGCTCGGGCAACCGGTCTTGAAGTACCGGGAGTAGGCGGTGGGCTTGCACAGCTGTGGACTGTTGTACGCTCCGGTACAACAGTACTCCTCGTCTTTGAAGGCGATGCATGCACTCTTGCATGCTACCACGACCCCTCCGCTGGTCACCCGCAGCTCCTCGGGGCAGGAGGGGTTGAGGTCCGCCGTGCACTTGACGTCGGAGCAGTTGCCGCTGGTGGCTGCGAGGAGGTAGATATATATCGGGACATTAAACCCGTCCACATAACTAACATCATAAAAGTCTAGTCTTCCGCTGCCGTCGCCAAGGGAGAACTCCGCAAGGGAAGCTGGGGGTTGGCCGCCGATGTCGTCGCACTGGAATCGGCCACCGCAGTCGCCGGTGGCGCAGTTCCCGTTTTGGCCGGACGGGTCGAAGGAGCAGCCGGTCCGCGCCCAGAACCGGCCGGACCAGCCGGTGGGTATTTCGACGTCGGCCCTTCGCCCCGGGCTGAGCTGGAGGCCGGTGATGTTGATTGGAGGTTTCCCTACTATTGCGGGCCATAACGTTTTCCCGCAATAGTTTTTCAACGTGAAAGTGACACCGGCGTGTGATCCTGCATATACGAAAGCAATAATTAGGATAGGAATTAGGAAACCATATTTTATATTTAATTAGCAATTGATAAGAAAAAAAGAAAAAAAAATTAAAAGAAAATGTATACCGAGGAGGTAGGGGAAGAACAGCAAAGCAAAGAGAAGAAGAGCTGAGGAGGCCGCCATTTTAGGAAGTGTTTAATTTAAATTTCAGATTAGTATTTAGGTGGCAATATCAGAGTGTTTTGTAGCCTGGGGTTTTAATGTTTTATAGCCTGGGGTTTTATAGCCGGGGGAGAGAGAGAGAGAGAGAGAGAGAGAGAGAGAGAGAGAGGTGGTGGCCTGGTGGGTGAAGGTGACGTGGAACGGTAATACTTGATTGGGAATTTCGGAATAAAATAGCTGTAATATATAAATTTTAAGTAATTTTTTGACTATGTTTCTCTTTTTTAATATTTACTTTTTGATAAAACTTTTTTAAAAGTCATTTCCACTCTTTAAAAATATATATATTTCACAAGTTATTATATTGAAGTTAACTCAATCCTAAATTAAGGAAAAAAAGTTACAGAGAATTTGGGAGTCTAAATTTGAAAGACATTGTATTTTAGGACTCTTATTTTATTCTTTTCTTTTGTTTGTGGACCCTCCAATTTATTAATTGAACTTTTACCTCTTTTTGCATCTTTAAGTCTCTGATTCCCTATACAAAATGTGAAATTAAAGATTTTTGAGGGATTTTCGGTGGATTGTGACATACAATTTTTTATCTTTTCGAATTTGAGTTAGAATCTATGTAGCACCGACACAAAATGGCGCGACAAGGGGATACGGAAAAATGGATACGGGGAAACGGCATGTTCTGAAAATGGGGATACGAAAACTTGTGGAAAACATGTAAATATTAAAAGTATATGGATGATTAGCTTAGTGTAGTTTACGTCTCTTGTATTGTTTGCAATTATTTTTCGATTGTTATGATAAATAGGCCGTGAGAGGTGAAATTAATCCGAAAATAGAACACAAAAAAGTGCGGTTATTGATACGTTTTTTTTTTAAAGTCTCTTTAAAAATATATATATATATATTCCACAAAGTTATTATATTGAAGTTAACTCAATCCTAAATTAAGGAAAAAAAGTTAAAGAGAATTTGGGAGTCCAAATTTGAAAGACATTTTATTTTAGGACTCTTATTTTATTCTTTTCTTTTGTTTGTGGACTCTCCAAATTATTAATTGATTTTTTTATCTTTTTTAGAGGGCAATTAAACTTTATTTTAAGAGTTCAAGTATTAACTTATCTCAGGAAAACTTAATTAATAATTAGAACTCTTGCAGAAAAACTTATTTTTATAAAAAGGGATAAAAAAATAGTGTCATTATACCAATATATTTTAGTATGAGAAACTTTATCAAAATATTTTTTAAACCTATTAACTAGCTAGGGGTGGAAATCGGACAGTTCGGATCGGAATAAGCACTTTCGAAAAAATTCTGATTTTCTTCGAAAGTGAAAAATTCGTTCTAATTCCGTTCCAACAAAGTCGGAGATTCAAAAATTGGAATGAAAAAGTTGGTTTTGAAATCGGAAATATTAGTATGGAATCAGTGCAGTCCAACCGAGAACTATGAGTTGCATATTCTGGAATTGTCAAGGGCTCGGGTTTCCCTTGACAATTTTCAAGTGCAGGAGGAAAATCAATGCAATCAAAAGTAGAAGGGGGTAAAGTAATAATAACCCAAAGTACAAGGACGGAAAGTGGAATTTACCGTATAAATAAAAAGGAAAAAAATTGTAATTGCAGATTAAGCCCAGTAAATAGTGTGCTTATTGGGCCGAACATCACTTTGTACTCTGTAAAGTGTGACTGTTGTTATCCTGTTTATAATTGGGTCCTGATATTAATATTTTGGTCTTCATTTGTTTTATTCTTTTTCAAACTTTAATCTGAATTTATTCCTTCAAAAAATATTTAGTTGTAGCCATTTATTATTTATTGTCAAACTTTAATCTGAATTTATTCCTTCAAAAGTTATTTAGTAGTATTCATTTACTAACAAATCCGACAATCAATTATACATTGGCTTAATCCCATTTGCACCCTTGAAATATATCATTTTAGCACTTTCCATCCTCGAAATAAATTAATAACACTTTAGACCCTCGAAACACAATAAATCATGCACAATGCACCCCAAATGAGTTTTTTAAACCAGTGAAGACAATTTAATATTTTTAGTGGTATTCTTTTAGGATGTGAAATGTCAAATCATTTTTTATATTCATCAATCAAAAAATAAAAATACATTTCATCAATATATGTACAAAAATATATATTTATTACCACAAAAAAGTATTTTACGAAAAAATATTCTTCAGCTATTTCATTATCAAGTTATCTGAAAATCATATTTTCTTACAAATATTTTCAACAATTACAATAAATGATCCATCAATTGAATAATTTAGTGATAAAATTTTATTTTGTATGAAAAATATAGTTTTTTTCCCATAATCAGCCAGGTGCATTATTCAATTCATGGTACATTGTGAACGGTTTATTATATTTTAAGGGTGTAGAGTGTTATTATTGTTTCTCAATGGTGCAAAATGCCAAAAGACACTATTTAAGGGTGCAAATTGAGATTAAGTCAATATATTAGCCTAAATTAAATCATAAGATTAGCTCCCATGATTTTTGAGATTAACACAATAAATGAAAAGATACGCTACAATAAAATACTAGGTCACTTCATGATTTTTATATTAAAAAATGGATAAGCAATTAATGTTATTATGGCCTATAAATTAATATGTAGTTGGAAATGATTTTTCATCAAAGTGTAGTGTGAATAAGGAGCGAGTGTATTATCATGGAGGCTAGAAAATTGTTTACCTTTGTTTTCTTCTTTTTGGCATTTGCTTTTGCTGCTCGTAAGTTAATTTTTCCCTTTCAAATCTCGTTTTCGCAAGTTTTTAATAATTCATTAACATTTTTTTTTCTATTTTGTTATGTTGTAGAGGAGAGCATGGGCAAAATATGTGATCTTACACTCAAAACCAGTTGCGTTAACGACGCGAGTTGCAAGGTACAATGCCCACCAGACTACCCAGTTGGCCTTTGTCTGCTTGGACGACCCACGCGAGTATGTGTATGTCGAACCGTGAATTGTTAGTCAAACATTATTTTTCTAATTGATCTCGGCATATTGTAGTTTCTTTAGCTACTAGTTATGATGAGTTTTGAATAAAACGTTACAAATATCGTCTCGTCTTTATTTCTATTTTACACATTGTGTGACTATTAATATTGTGAAACAATGTTATAAGATTTCTACAAGTTCTAAACGAAAATTGTGCTATTATCTACACATACATTTTTTACGATATTTATTTGGTTCGACGGAGATTTCACGATTAATTAAAAAGAATTGGCATTATACATTCAACAATTGATCTTTTTGAACAAATTATAAAATATTACTCGTATTATTTTTTAAAGAATCGTGTCATGAATCTCGTAACTCAGCTATACAATTGGCCATAATAAAATTATAAATAAGACATAATGCTTGCTAATTTAGTTATAAACAATTGGGCTAGATTTACATGTATAAACTATATTCATAAACAGTTAATCGGATCATAGTTAACTCTTTTGGAAAAGGAAGAAGAAAAAAATTCGGAAGTGAAAAACTAATTCCAATTCCGTTCCAAAAAACAATCAGAAATTGGCAAAATCGAAAGTTTCGGATCGGAAATCGAAATCTCATACATATTCCAATTGCTTCCAAATAATTTTAGAAAGATCGGAAATCAAAATTGGAATGAAAAATATTGTTCCAAAATCGGAAAATTTTGGATCGGAATCAGCTGAAATCGGAAATTCCGCCCCTATCAATACTAGCCATATATTATAAGTGAATAAACAATTAAGTTTTTGAGATCTAGATGTTTTTGTCCGAAAATTTCCAATATGTAAACAGTTTTTGTCATTCCAATTTAATGTTTTTTTCATTAGTGTTACCCATCCGGAAGGAAAAAACAAAAAGAAAGAAGTTATCCGATGTGTTAATTCCAATCCAATCCGTCTGATTTTCACATCAACTTGTGATATTTAACATTTTGATCTCCATGAGATATTTTAATCAAATAAAAAAAATAAAAAAACAAAAAAGAGAAAGAAACGGAGTTACATAGTTTAATAAAAATTACTTAAAGACATAAATAAAAATAAAATTGTGTCACGAATCTCGTAACTCAGCTATACAATTGGCCATAAATAAATTATAAATAAGACATAATGCTAATTTAGTTATGCTAACCTAATTATGCCAATCAAATGAGACCTTTACTCGAGGCTTAATATTTACCGTATATTATATAGTTTAATAAAAATTAGTTAATAGTCATTCTTTTATGGTGCTAAAGGCTAAAAGCACATATTTCTTCTTAAATACCAACTTGAAACTTTCCCACACGTTTTATTTACTTACACCTTATATTATTTATTCGTCAATATATATATTATATATATACATTTCATGCAAATTGGCAGAGAGTTCAGCTGAAAATGTAAACCTCATCAAACCCCTTCCTGCAAATATGACAAATTTCGAAACCAGTTTATTACTTATGCTCAAATCAATCAGAAAAAAAAGTACACACACATGCACATATATATAAATACACACGCACACACACACACATGTGTGTGTGTGTGTGAGAGAGAGAGAGAGAGAGAGGGTTACCCAGCGTTCCCGCAATATGTGGGACTATGATTATAAATAAGGTTATCGAGCACTTTCCGGGAAGATGGCTTAGGCTTGTTCTTGGCGGATATCCGAGCCTCCCTGAGAGAAGTGTTAAGGAATTAGCACATGGAGAGAAAATACCACATTCAATTGACTACATACACACTTCAGTGATAATTAAGAAGTGAAACTACGATTTTGTAATATGGCCCAAATGTTTGCCAGCCAAACTTCAGTGCATTATAAATATGTTGGTAAATACACGAACCTACGAGAGCTTGAGGTGCTTACTCTACATAATCATAGAATGTGAAAGTAGCTAATGCACAAACTTCGACAGAAATTTTACCTCACAAAAAAGTTGGCAACGTGTTGAGTGACTTGAACGGCATCTTCTGAGTGTGGAATCTCTGATAAGCCCCACTCAAAAGCATTTTTCTGGACCAGATATGCCATTTTTTGTCATTTTTCAAACAAAACAATTTGAGTATTGAAAGTCTGCAATATTAATAAAATTTTAATACAGATAATACCTCTGGATGCCACTGAACAGCAGTCACCGGATATTTGCGTGCTTGAACCGTCGAAACATAGTCCTGATACAAATTGATCATACCGGACATGATTAAGGATAAATCTCGGGTGTCAAAAAGTGCACTTGAAATAAATAAATCTATGGGGAAACAAATTTGAAGTTACGATAAATATCCTGTAGAGGTGGTTCCTTAGATACCTTGCCCTTTTTATCCCTACTAGTTGCTAATATCTTGAAGAAACTATCCAGACGTTTGTCCCTTCGGAACTTCGCAGGTGATATCCCATACTGTCACACAAAAGGTAGAGAAGAGAAGGATTAATTTGTTTTTTGATGAAGACGGAGAGTATTTTCGACTTCTTTCCAGCAGAATAAAAGTATTAATGCCCCTTGAACTTGATTTATTTTTTTCCAGAAACTGTCACACATTTCATGAAACATAACTGCAGATTTGAAGTATATGACAATATTTCGTTTATTGGTTTTTTTTCGTTTTTGAGGAGTTAGGTGAGGGGTACGAGTAGTAAAAATGTCATTCAAAGTGCTTAAAGGAACTTATCTTAAAGCACTCACATCATCTGAAAACAGAGAGGAATGTGAACTTACACTGTGATTTTGCATAACCAGGCATTTTGTACTTAGTTTATTTCGCAAAACCTCAGGGAACCTGAGAAAGGAAATTGATATCTTTGATTAACAATACCAATCTACGATAGCAGAATAAGATATGATCAAACCCTCAATGGGAAGCATTTTGGAACTGGAACCTCAGAACATATGATTAAACAACGGTAAAATTAATGCAAAAGTAAATCATAAGAATCCTTATGTGGTTTATCATCTTGTAAAAATCAATCACCATTCTAATCCACAAAATTTGGAAACTAGGTATCATATTTTGTTTATCCAAAAGGTAAAGCATAAATATACTCCAAAGGTGGAAATCAAGACAGGCACTTCGCACATAAGAAATAGTAACATAAATTCATCTAATAGGTAATGTCGACTAAAGTCGAAATACTTCCATCCCAAAACAAACTGAAAACTTATCGTGAAAAAGTAAGTGCAGTTATATTACCTCTGAAATAAATTTCCATTCACATCTATGTTATCCAATGTAGTAGCTTGATTTAGTGCATCGAATTTCTCCAGGATGTTTTTTTTCTGAACAATAATAAAATAGTAGCGTTAGATAGACCAACACATCGAGGCCGATCAAATCAATCTACGTCGAAAGAACTAGAATGCAAATTAGAAGTCATAGCATAGTCTAAAAGCGGCTCAATGCAAGAAAAATCCTAAGAAACGAGCTTCTACACAGTACCATGAGTCAAACTGGCAGAACTTTAATACACACTGATGGCCGCCAGTTCATAAATGATTTTTTAATGAATCTCATAAAGCTCCGGTCGACATGTTTTCCAATAATAATGACAGATTTAATTGACAAAAATATATGTATGCATGCTTCGACACGGCTTACCTCACTGACGACCATGGTTAATAGTTCAAAGCCTAAACAGATTGCAAGCAAAGGGAAATGATGCCCAGCATCGTTCATTCTCCGAACATTCTGCAACAAAAACAGATACAAAAACAGTCATAAACTCATAACTCATAACTCATAAGCTACTTGAAAAACACAATTAGGAAGGAGAGAAAATAGTGGTTACAATTTTAGCACAAGTATTAGAGATTGTAATGTACCTCGAATATTGACTTGACAACATTAAAGTAGGAAGTTCTTTTGGAGCTCCCTCCAGTAAAGATCACTCCATTGACCAAATTGAGTTTCTGCAACATAGAATTAATTACAATGTTAACTCTTGCAATCTGCCAATTAATCATAATAGAAGAAATACCTAATCCCTTATTATCTAAGTAAATCCACATGATTAATTACATGATCCGAGAGACTGAGAATCGAGTTTACAAATGTATCCAAATCATTAATCACACAGTAATTAAGCAGTGGTTTACCTCGTTAATAACCTTCAACGGTTCGTTGTAGATGAGGGGAATAACCCTAGCACCGGCGGACTCAACAAACTTCACATAAGAGGCGGCGATGTACGAGGCGCTGGGGGCGTTGTTGAATTTGCCGGAATTCCCGTCCCCTGGGTGGCTGAGGATTCCGATGACCGGACCGAGTTTGAGTTCGGGGTTCGCTCGGGGCAACCGCGGAACAACCGCATCGGCCTCCGTAGTGGAATGAGCGGCGCCGCAGCAGCTACTGGGGCAAAGGATCCGGAGACAATTCAGCGTTTTGGAAGAGGAAGCGGCGGCGGCGGCGATAGAGGACCGTGGAAGCGGTGGGAGGGGAGAGGAGGAGGAGGAGGTGTTTGAAGCGTCAGAGTTACTCGCGGCGGAGGCTGAGGAAGGCGGAGTAGGATTTGGTGGCGCCATTGACGGTGGCGGCGGTGGTGAAAAAGGAAGAGGAAAAACGTTGAGTGGCGCAGTAGAAATGGTATTATTGACATGGAAATTGGATTTCTGAATTGCGTTCGATTTATACTGCTACGAATTTGAGAATCTTCCATTAATCGTGTGTGTGTGTGTGTGTGTGTTTTCTCAGTTTGGTTGGGAACGACGAAGGTAATACCAGAACGGGAAAACCACGGCGCCGGTGTGGTGGGTGAAGGTGGCGTGTAACGGTAATATTTGATCGGGAATTTCGGAATAAAATATTTATAATATATAATTTTAAGTAATTTTTTGACTATTTTTCTCTTTTTTTAACATTTAATAATATTTTTTGGTGAACTTTTTTTAAATCAGTAATATTACATTCTAAATATATACATTATTCTTTTTTTTTTTTTTTTTTTTTTGAGTAATAAATATATACATTATTCCACAAAGTTATATTGAAGTTCTCAATCCTAAAAAATTCTTTTCTTTTGTTTGTGGATTTATTTTAAGAAGTTCTCAATCCTAAATTTGAGGAAAAAAGAAATGGATTTTATACTTTTCTTTTGTTTGTGGACTCTCTCCAATTTTTTTATTAAACTTTATTCTAACAGTTCAAGTATTATTAACTAGTCCTCAAGAAAACTTAATTAATACTTTAAGCCCTTGAAGAGAAAAAAAAAACAAGTACGAGGCCTTTATTTCAATTGCACCCAGTTAATTTTGACGGAAAAACTAACGGACCCTACCTTTATCAACCACAAACGAGTTTATGTGTTCCAAACGTTTGTAACTATAGAAAAATTAAGTGCAATTTCCGAGAGTTGGTATATAGCCTCTACTATTAGAGTAGAGGTCTAGGGTTCGAATCCTGTCTCCCCCTACTTCTCCAATTTCTAACAGGATTTGAATATTTACAAAAAAAAAAAAAATATATTATTAGGAGTACAAATGAAGATCAAATTCAATGATACTATTGCGTGTTATAAATACTGAGTTTCAAATGGGACTAAATAATTTTTGTTCTTCAATGGCTTTCTTTTTTTTTTTTTTGTTTTTTTTTTTGTTTTTGACTATACAAGCATTTGCCAACTGATCAAATAGGGATAAAGAATTGAAGCATAATATATATACATGGAAAGACATATACATTTACGGCGTAACGGAGATTTGTTTTTGACAATGTCGACCGAACAACTTCAGTGTTTCTGGTACAACTCTGAAAGCGTCTTGTACAACGCAGATGCTGCAGGAGGGCGAGGCATCGAACCAAGAAGAATATCTGCTGCAGATATGGATTGGTTACCGTAAAACCTCGAGTTTTCTTGTTTTCGGGTCTTCACTATATTCCCTTCGAGAGAGCAACCCACAAATGCACCTGCAAAGCGCAGTAATGATTGCAGCAATCTTGTTAAATACTATTTCTTTCGTATATTAAACCAGAAAATAAACATGGAGAATATCAACACGAATTTCGCTCGTCATTTTTTTTAAGCAGTTAAGCAGAAGAAGATTCACTTGGAAGTTGAAGTTTAAGCACATGGAACAAGTAACGTAGTTCTCGATTCGACTATTCTGGTGAGAATAAATAAAATAAAAAAATTCTGAAGATTAACTGCGTAATTAGATTTACAGCAACAAATACTTTTTTGTGAAATGTCCCGATACATATCAATACATAAAGTACCTTTACTGCAGCTGTATGTATAGCAAGCAGCATAACCACCATCGCCAGCTCGTAAATCAGCTTCAGCAGCCCTTCCAACAATACCAACAGCGGCACTTAAACCTGCTCCAACCGACAAATGGGCGTTCCCACTAAACGTCTTGACAGCCGAATTTGTTCTCAGCACAATAATAAAATCAGTCAGTTCCCCGCCAGCCTGTCAAAAACAAAAGCAACTTAACGACAACCTCAATTTTTGTTCTATTGATCAATCAAGAAAACATACGTTTGGCCTCGTTTTTGGGCCATTATTTCTATTTCATTTTCGAGAGAGGGATACGAATTAAAAAAAAAAGTGGGAAATTCAACTCACGAACCTGCACTCCCCAGCCAATGCCGAAGGATGCAATGGCAGATGGTGGCGACCAAGATCCATCTTCTCTTCGAGCAACCACTATCCCGGTGCCAATATTGTACGTAACCATCACTCCGACTTTTGCAACAGTTAAGATAGCAAGTCCCTTAGCTTGCTTTAATATTGCACCCGGTATTGACTTTTCGGGTGTCAATTGTCCAACCTATAATCGACACAGTAATATTCTCAACCATAAACATACAGTAAACTCACAATGCGATGCACAAGATCTCACAATGCGTACCTTAGTGTAACCTTGAATGGTGTTTGTGGCCTTGTATATCTCGTACTCCATAGAATGGACCCACGGGAAGTTAAGCCAAGATCTCAACGTACTCAAATCCGTCAGATCATGAGTTGGCGGCTGTGCCGCACGGCTAACTTGGTTCATCAAGCACGCCTGTACGTCTTCAAGCCGAACGCAGCACACATCACATACTCTCTGTGGGTCCCCCGTTCGGAACTTCGAAGGCAACAAACTCCGTCCCTTAGAGCAACTATTGCAGAAAATCCCCCCACAGAATCTGCAGTGATGCCTTGAACACATGATGGGATGAAAACGCACGTTGCAAAGCATACAAGCAGAAGAAGCACTATCGGGCAACCATTTTGGAGGCTCCGATTCCAAAATGTCCTTCATTTTGCCGAAGTTAGCATCCGTGAGAGTTTGGGCCATCTCTTTCCAAGCTTGCTCAAGAAGAAGGCTCGACATCCACGATATGCCGTATGCGTGTGCGTCGTAAGAAGTAAGAGCGCTGATTTTTCCTCTAGCTGCTAACATCATATCAAGAACCACATCCCACATGGTCATCTCTTTATCTTCCCCGATAAACTCGTTCCAACCCAAATCGCCGTCGGGCAAGTGGGCCCCGTTCAAATAGAGGCCCCTGTTCCATTCCATTTCCTCGTGCGGCAACGGTGGAACCGAGACGGGAATCCAAACACCCGTTTCTTCGGAAAGTGGTGTGTCGTAATAAAAACAATTATCCACCTTTTGACTGGCAGAAGCTAGCTCATTTTTTTGCTCATCGCTAGCCCCACTTAGCTCCATTTCATCCTCTTTCTTGATCGGATACTCCATGGATTCACGTACATCATTATCTGATGATCCCAAGTTACAGGCTCCTCCCACATTCATATGAACATCTTCGATAACCTGCATATTAAGAATTTATCTAAATTGTACATCGACATTGACCACTTATTGAACAGAAAGTGAAAAACCAATTGACTGCCCTTCACTTCACATTAAATCATTCCACACATAGGTTATACTTTATACAAATACATCAGCATAAGATGTATGTATAGATAAAATCAACAAAACGGGCAGCAATGAATTACTATTTTGAATTTTCTGACCGATTTCATATATTATTATACGCATAATATTTCAAAAACAACGACACTGTAAAACTATTCAACCAGTCACATTCTCAATTGTAAACCTAATACGGAATCTCACTTTCATCATTCCGTAATTTCACCTTGGAGACGAAAAATAAATAGAAAACTTAATTCCGAATAGAACTTAATTCAGGCTCCTTAATCTGTTGACCAATTCGAGCAAAACAGACTGTATAGTTGGTAAGTAAATCAAAGCAGACACAAACTCGAACTTGAACGAATCCCGGTTAATACTATCATGATAATTACTTCTCGAGTTAAAATCTAAGGATAATTCCAATTAAAGCTTATATTCATCAATTGCAGGAACAAAAAAAATACTATTATGAAAAATAAATCCAAAGGAACAGACCATAAACAAAAGAAATGATTTCATGATCACGTCATCTTAAATAGCACAGCAAATCGGATTTTGTTTTTCTATATCAAGAAATCCTAGTTATGAACAGTGCCATCAGAACCCAAAGCAAACAAGTAGCAAAACCCTAATTAGGCATAAATTTCAAAGACGAAAAAAAAATGTTTTTTTTTTTTCAAAATTTTACCCTTGATGAGCAATTTTCGGGCTCGCAATCGTCGAGTTGAATTTGGGGGTACTGCAATTTGGCGGCCATGGATGAGGTCTTCAATTCCTCCACCATGATTAGTTCATCCTGAGAAATTAGGGTTTACAGAATGTGGGTAACATGGAAACGGAGGGGGAAGAAATCTAAATAAATTATTGAAGGCAAACGTAGTGAAGTTCTATACGCTTCCTCTAAATTTTTTATTGGCAAAACCTCTCTAATACTATTATTTTTGTGACGAAATTTAAAATAATTAAATTTTCTTGAAAATTAAATTAACACAAATTATACATGAAAAAAATAATAATTAATCATTAATATTAATGCAGGTATAAAGGATTATATTGCCAAAAAAAAGTGAGGGCCATAATATCAACATGGGCAAATTACGACCATTTTTGAGATAATGTCAAATTACGGAAAAAAAATATTTTGTTTGTATGCATAAAACAAACACCCCCTCGTGTTGATAAATTTAGGAGAGTTTATTCGGTAAAATTGTACAGAAACTGCAGAGTAAGCCAAAATTTCATATCGTTTAGCTTTTGGTTCGATAAATAAACAATTTACCAAAATGTTATTAATTTTTTTGATTTTTTTACATTAGTTTTAGTTTAAGTACTTATATATATATATATATATATATATATATATATATATATATATATATATATATATATATATATATATATATATATATATATATATATATATATATATATATATATATATATATATATATATATATATATATATATATATATATATATATATATATATATATACAATCGGTATGTACAAATTTTCGTACGGTTCGATTCGATCGGTTTAGCAGAATGAACGCCTAGGTAAATTTGACTCAGTAAGGATGGACGTGTAAGATAATATATAGTTGAGGAGTGGTTGTAATTATGCAAACAAGAGGGATTTTTTCGTAATTATACCTTATCTTAGGGGTGGTCCGTAATTTACCCATATCTAAATGATGTCATTCTTTAAAATTTACACCTAATATTGAATTATTATTCAAACAATTAGTTTGATAAAACTTTATTAACACGTAAATATAATGAGAAGATTGTACACTACATACCAATTGACAAAAAAAAGTCTTGTGGTGCATTATTAATTTTGAAATAAACAATGAATAAGAAATATTTCATTTATTTGGTATGTATTTAATTATTTAAGAAAACACAAAAGAACCATATATATTCCTCGAAAAAGGAAAATAATGCATTTAAAAGAATCGTACGTATGATCGCTCAATTATCCATAAATCAATTGGTCAACATTTTCCCTCTCAAGAATTGTGTTCGTCGAAAGTCAAACGTGTCCGTATGCTATTTCGAGGAAATAGAAGAACTCCAACAATCTTCCTCTCAACAACTGCATTACAAAAAATCAAATTTGTTAAATTTGCTCGATTATATATCGGTAAGGGTTGGTGGGAGTCCGTCGAACAAACATTCCATAAAAATACACAAAAAATCTTATCGTAAAAAAAATCATCTCATAATGTACAATATTATTTATGACATCCTTTTTATTTTCAAAAATATTTCATTTAAAGTATATATTTATTTATGATACATATGTTTGCATCATTACATTTCCTTGAATGCCATATGCTAGATGCATCAATATTGTTCAAATGCTTCGTACACGGCTTATACTATGCTACACCGGGTGAATACACCGGGTAGATCTTTACCATTCATATGCACACAAACACGCACACACCCACATTGATGTGTGTAGATCAACGGTAAAAATCACCCGGTGTAACCTTCACCGGGTGTAGCATAGAAATAACCCTAGTTAACTTCATCAATTATCCTTTTTGTTTTTTTTTTTAATTTATTCTATGTCATACATTTATTTATTTTAATTTTCTTTTCCTTTTTCTTTTACTTAAATCTATCATTTTCAAGATAATACTTTAAATTCTGCACTAATGATAAAGCTGATTTACATGTAACGATAATTAAACTATGTATATGATATAGTAATTTAATTATGGACGTGCAATATTTACGTGGTCTTTTAATTTAGGGTAAATTATAACCACCCCTGAGGTATGGTAAAATTACAAAATCCCCCCTCTTATTTGGATAATTACAACCATCCCCTCAACCCCTTAATTTTAGTGAAATCTTCGAGATTATATGAAATATTATCACTTTTGTACCCGTTTTATCCCATTCGAACTCTATATTTTGAAGCAAGATGATTATAATATGTGTTTTTTGGCTTGTATATATCAGATTGCGGTGCATCAGAAACTGTATTTTTACACAAAACGAGTACAAACTAAAACAAATTCCACGAAATCTAGATGATTATGTTGAATTTGACACCATAAGGGTGGAGGTGTAAGAAAAAAATAGTTGAGGGGTAAATGTAATTATCCAAACAAGAGGGTTTTTTTTTTGTAAATTGACAATACCTCATGGGGTGTTTGTAATTTACCTTTTAATTTATAGTTGGCCAAATACTTATAATTATAATTTTTGAACTTCGTTATACTTCTAGAACAATTAATTGTTAAGTCACCTTCAATATTAGCTTAACTTTATTTCCAACCTTTTATTTAGGATAAATAAAAAGCATGGATGAATAATTGTCGTGGTCCTAGTAGAAATTGAACCACTCAAAGGATCACATAAAAAAATTAAAATAGACTACAAATATCCAAATTAAATATGGAGAAACAATTAAATAGGGCGTAAGGGGAATGAATATGATTGACAAGGGACCACATCTGCAAATATTAATATACCTCTAAATTTGGCCCACACAAAATTCTAGTATATCCTCCTATTTTCGTTACATTTCAATTTCATTTTATTTCTATGTTACTTTTACCAAAAATATGGTCCCACACGGGTCGGGTTGCCCCTGTCGAGTCTTCCTTTTATTAATTTTAATAAAAAGTGTAAATTACAACCGTCTTTTGATGTATGGTCATATTACGAAAAAACTCCTTCATGTTTGGGTAATAACAACCACACCTCAACTATAAATTTTCTTGCACATCCACTCTTACATTTTCAAATTTAGTGGAATCTTCTAAATTATATGGAATACTCTCAATTTTGAACCCGTTCTATGATAAAACTTCTATCCCATTCGAACTCCACATTTTGAAGTAAGATGATCATAAGATGTGTTTTTGGCTTGTATATATCAGATTGTGGTTCATCATAAGTTGTATTGTTGCACAAAACGAGTACAAACTAGAGAATATTTCACTGAATCTAAATGATTATGTTGAATTTGACACAATAAGGGTGGAAGTGTAAAAAAATTCCTAGTTGATGGGATGATAGATTGAATTCTCCAAACATAAGGATTTTTTTCGTAATTTAATTATGATTCAGGGGTTTGCTTGTAATTTACCCTAATAAGAAAATAAACTTAACACCCGCCTAATTATCATCTTAAAAGCTAAAATTTAATAAGGGTAATTAACACTTAACCCCCATCTGGTTACAAGCTTTTGCAGGTGACCCTCTTATGTTCTTGACCTCCTCGTGGTTAATGGAGATAACTTCCGTTAATTTTTCCGTCAAATTTAACCGCCAATATTAATCGTCAAAGTATTTTTTTTGCAGATGACCCCCTTATGCTTTTAGTATCAGCACATAACCCCCTCGCGGTTGACAGGTAGCTTCCGTTAGTTTTTCCGTCAAACTTTACCGCCAATATCAAACGTCAACATATTTTTTTTGCAAATGAACCACCTTGTTCTTTCATTTTTGCAGATGACCCCTTTGAAATTCGATAAGCGCGGTTAGGTTTGGCGAAAAAACTAACAGAAGTTACTCTCATAAACCACAAGAGGAGTTATGTGCTTATATTACGAGCACATGGGGGTCGTTTGCAAAAACTTGTAACACAGGGGGTTAAGTGCTATTTACCGATTTAATAACTGTAGATATTTCGAAAATTTTATTGTGGTAATTTGATCTTCAATTGCACGCGTCAACGCTGAATGGCATTGTCGTAAATATATATATATATCTCTATCCCTCTTTTGGACGCACATTTACACACAGAGATACACACACTGAAAAGATCAGACTGTTGTTTTGGAATTTAAGGCCGCTTGTGGGGGGTGAAAAATCTACATATCTCCAAACCCTAGTTTCCGATAATATCCTAATATAGCTTCATCTCTTCCGATTTCTTCCTCGATTCTGGTTTTCCTTTTTCGGTTTTTTTTTGTTTGTGTTTGCTTTTGAATTTCATATTATCCGTCGCGAAAAAAAAATTTAGAGTACTTTGCTGCAGTTCGTGGAGTTGTTGTAATCGGTAATCAGCCACCCCGATGAGTAATATCGGTTGATTTGTCGGAGATTCCTGTTCGATTGTGCTCCTGGGTTGAATAATCGGAATCGAGATTTGCAGTTTTTTTGTGGTTTTAGTTACGGATTTGCCGATTTCCTGCAGATGATTGGTTTCTCTGAGTATTTCGTCTTGTGATATTTTTGTGGGTATTGTTTTATTTCTCGAAGTTACTGAGTTGGATGATTTAACCGAGTTGGGATAATTAGGGTTTCAATTTTAAAAAAAGGTAAATACTTGGTTGAGGATGATGTCTGTGGAGAGATCGTTTGAAGCATGGGAGGAGGTGCAGCGCCACGGTCAGGATTTAGCCGATAGGCTTGCGAATGGTTTCACGGATTTAATTCAAACTCATATTACTCCACCCTCGTTCCCATGGCCGAACCCTCCAATGCCGAAGCTGTTTGAAGTCGAGTTTCCAACCCAGAATTTCATGAAGAATGACTTCGGGATCTCTCTGGATAGTTCACCGATCAATGGAGTTTTCGATATTGGGAACAAAATAGGGCAGGCGGGGGTGGATTTCGGGGCGTGTTTAAATGGTGTGGTTCATCAGTTTTTCAGGCGGCTGCCTGTGCCTTTCCGTCACGGTGAAAATGTGGCGGTGGCGCTGGGAGGGGAGGAGCATGGATCGAGGTCGAATATGGGTATTACTCTGCAGGAGGATTTGGGGTCTTTGGCAGAGCGGTTCAAGGAATATGGGGTGTCTGAAAATGGTACTGTATTCGTAGAGGATTCGAGCGAGAGCGAGACTGTTGATGTTAGTGCAAAGGCATTGAAACATTTGGGTCGATCGCAGGTAAATATAACTATGTGAACAGATAATTTATCGTTAGGCAAGACACTGTTTTCTTAGCATATTCGTTTATTAGTCTTCTCATTAAAATGGTTTGTTATTGGATAGTTGACGACTACTCGCTATATGGCTATGTATAGTGTCCCAGATACACCGTGCATTCTAAATTTCAGGATTATCACGTTATTTGAAGTAATTGGTTATGTAATAAATTGCTGACATCTCTGTTATGCATGCTTGTGTCTGAGTCACAACTCCTTACTTAAGCATTAGTAATTGATGTTTGTGGCTGTCTCGTTTTTCAATTCACCTTCCTATACTTTTCCTTACCTCTCTGTTGTTTAAGTTCCAATTTTTCTCCATATGCAGGGTACTTTCAATGTGACAACAACCTATGACAGTAGAACTAGCAACATCGAAAGTTCTATGCTTGCCAGGGGAGATTTATGGAGAGTAGAGGCGTCGCAAGGAAGTTCAATATCAGGCAATCAGAATTCATCCCTTTTCCTTGTTCAGCTCGGGCCTGTACTATTTGTCCGTGATTCCACACTTCTGTTGCCTGTACATTTGTCGAAACAGAACTTGCTGTGGTATGGATATGATAGGAAGGTACGGAGTACTAATTAAGCTGTTATAAAATGTTAATTGATAGTTTGTTGAGTTGCTATTGTCTAGTTTTGGCATAGTTGCCGATGTTTATGTGAGTTCCCTAAACGAGTCAGTATGATTTATCCCGTGGTCATTCCATCTCTGTAATTTGAGTAAATACATAATGTTTGTCACTGGATATAGTTCACTTTTGTGAAGAAGTAATACTAGTGAATAGCAAATGAATACTAGTGATATAGTTTCTCTATCTCTGTCTAGTGTCTACTTTTAGATAATTTAGTTTACGTAGTATTTCAAATGAATGGATGTGGACGAATATCATTATTTGGTTTTCCGATAAATTCTACATTATTGAGGATGTGTGGTGAACTACTTTTCTAGATGCATTCATTCACTATTAATGAAAAACATTTATTTTAAACTATAAAGTGTTTGCGTAGACCACGATTAATATAGCTTGCTTGGGTTATAACCTTTATTACTTTTCTCTTTTTAATGTTGCACAGAATGGAAGGCATTCTCTTTGTCCTGCTGTGTGGTCAAAGCATAGAAGGTGGCTGTTGATGTCAATGCTCTGCCTCAACAATATGGAATGTGTGAGTCTCGATTCATTATTTACATGATTTGTTTCATTTAAATGTTGCTGTTTTTATTATTGAGGGAGAGGGAAATATATTTTTTTAAGGTAAAGCTCTCTTTATATAGTTAGGAAGAAGTTTAGATTTCCTAACTTAAAATGCTTCTAATCTTTCCTTTCTCCTCTTTGCAGTCTTTCATGGATTTGCAGTTTCCAAATGGCCAGGTTACATTTGTATCTGGTGAGGGTTTATCGGGCACTGCGTTTATGCCCCTATGCGGAGGATTACTTCAAGCACAGGGTCAATTTCCAGGAGAAATGAAGTTCAGTTTCTCTGCCAAGGTACAACTATGGTTATCTTTGCTCTAGTAAACCGATATTTAGATACTAGACGAATCAATGAGAGATCAGAATCAATCTACTCTCCAATTCGGGCCATGAAATGTTTTTATCTGAACTTATTTACGACATTTGTTCTTCTGCTTGACCATTGAGCACTGATATCGTTATTTAATCTTGTGAAGAATAAGTGGGGAACACGAATAACACCTGCAGTGCAGTGGCCTGATAAATCATTTGCTTTGGGGCTGGAGCAGTCGTTGGCGTGGAAGAGATCCGGCCTCATGGTGAGGCCAACCATCCAATGCAGGTAATAGTGATTGCTTTGTTCGTTATAAAAACCTACATTAGAAGTCCTGTTTCAAATCCTTTAATGCTCGGTTTTTATTATTTTTCTTCTTTGAAAAATAAATTCAAATCCTGTTACAAATAGTAGCGCAATTGGAAGCCAACCTCGAACCCTATTGATCAAAGTTAGGTGCAAATGCCCGTATTTCACATGTGTATGTTTCTCTATTTTCAGTTTATGCCCAACGTTTGGTGGAAGATGTCCTGGGTTGCGGATGGAACTTACACATTCTGTGAAGGAGGAATTGAATCTTATTTGCGGCTGTGCCCTCGCGACACATTCTTCTGCGTTTGCATCCGTAGCTGTAAGTTACTCTTCATTGAAACTATCTTTCTCGATTGTGTTTTATATTTTATCCAAGGTTAATACTGTGAACTTTATGTCTTATTTAGCACTATCTGAACATGGTTGGTGTTTCTTTTCTCATCGGAAGTGGTAATAAACGTTTTATGTTGTTTCCTCAAATACGAAATCTAGGTTGGCAGGTCCAAATGGAATGGGAATACCGGGAACGCAGGGGTAGTTTTAAAAGTCGAAACTCCTCTCGGCAGTTACGGGAGACCCTCTTTCTCTCTTCAGTTGAATAGCGGTATCGAGTTTTAAACGTATCATCTTTTGGTTTTGGTTTTTGTCGACTGCCTTTGCAGTTAAATTGTAAATATAGTAGTAGCCTTCATATCGATGTATGTTGATTATAGTGTCTTTTGAATCGCACTTCAAAGTGCAAGTCTCTTGTAATTTGCCACTCTTTTGTTAGCCAGTCATGGATTGATTAATCGAGCACACACAAATCTGTGAATCCTTCGGTTTTTAAGGGGATTGTATGGAAATATTTGATGTGAGAATATAGTTTTGATTGGGCGATTACACAACAATTGGAATTGGCCTTTTATCTTAAGCAAGTGATTGAATTTATCAGAAAATTAGGTTAACGATGACCTACATGCTAGGTGTCTCACGAGTCACGATTGACTCAATATCGAACAGAATTCAATTAATAAGAAACCCGTTTAAAACACATCGAAAATATTTGAAATCAATCACTAATTTTATTTAGCAAAAAATAACTGAATTCATAAGAGTTGCAAGCATACGTCATCTGAAACGAGATAAGGTTCGACATTTTACTCGAGAGCAGTCTGCATATACAAACCTTTCAGAATAAGAAATACATACTTGATGTTCATCCTCAGTTACACTAATGATTAAACAACAATCCAAACGATATACCGTTTCCAGTAAACTCTTCCAGAATCAATGTAACAGGAGAACATTAAGAATCGAAGAATTGACTCTAGCAAACACGCAATTAACGAGATAAAAAGATATAAAATTGTCGGGAGGTTTTCCAATTAGATTTTTGGCTTTGTGTATCCAAGACTAATTAGCTTTTGCACCAGTATTTTCTCTGCATTTGCCTGAACACATCATAATAGATACGCAATTCATATGGCGAAAATAGTGACGAAACCAATACAACGAATAATGAGATTAGAGAGGGCAGAAAATCGCACGCCTCGTTAGGTTTGAAAAAGAAATCTGAAACAAAAGAAATTACGACTGAGCAAAACTGCTAATAGGGAAACTAACCTCAAGCATGGGGTTGTTCTTCGGTATATTACAAGCAAGTACGATATTCAGACCGGTTTTTAGAACTGAAATTGAAATCACAAAATCAGCCACAATTACAGGATCGTGTATAAGCGTATTGATTTAATAGTACATTACCTAATCTACGTGCAATACCCGATCCCGTGTTATCAGACGACCCTCCAATTAAAGCAGTTACACCAATTGTATTGTTCTGTTTCATGATGTCGTATAGTTAGAATATGAACGAGAAAATATACAATTGTCAAATTGCTACAAAAGTTGTACCTAGAAAGATTATCTTATTTAATTGAGAAAAGAGTTCTCTCGAAACAATACGATCTTTGCTCAATTGAGAACAAAACAATCTTGAAACAATTGATAAGGAATGAATAAACGAAGAAACTATAAAAGAATAGCGAAAGTTACGGTTTCCTCCCGCAAAATATGTAATCTAATTGCAACAAGCGCATAAGAAATTACAACCACCCTGCTGAGGTTTGTAGCAGTGTAACAACTAACAAATACGCTCTAGTCACATTTGAACTTAATGGAGTTAATCGTAATTTACCCAAAATATATTTCGAACTTACTGGTCGTGTCGATGCAGCTGCATATAGATGTCCGAATTTAGCAGAGTTGTAACCAATCCATGCATAAATCTACACAAAGAAACCATGATAAAAATTCGTTCTGTTGGAGTGAAAAATTGCATATATACCAGCAGAAACAGAGAGAGATACTCAACTTCAGTCATAGATAATTTAGTGCGCTATAGATTGACTTAATAGAAAATATAAAGGCGTACGTTCCGAATTTTTAGCTTACAACATCAGAAAATAAACGAAGACAATACCTAATTACTATAGATAACACTAAACAGATGATGATTTCAACCCATTTTAAATTGGTGTTAAGCACATAGACAAGCTAATGAAAGATTAAGAAGAATCCGTGAAATAATAGCAAACTCCAACTATTAATAAACAAGATTGGAGCCGAAGAGATTCAGGAGCAACAAAAAGTGTCGGTACTACTTCTGAAAATTAACTAACACATTGAAATTTAAAAACATTAAAGTTCATCAAGCGTAATTTAGAAGATAAAAAGTATGTAAAAAAAGATATTCACTGACCTGCTTATGGAGACGAATTATCTGAAAATGGAGGGTAGAATCGTTTGATACTTCTGTAAAGCACGTGACTTGCACTCCACTTTCACCTTCATCAAACTGCTCTCTGGAGCTCAACTCATTCGCAATTTCAACGTCATTACTGCTCATTTTTTTGCTGAAAAATAGCATACGATGTATTCTTAACAATCTCGGCATATATATATATATATATGCTTTGAAATTAGAGATAGTGCAATCAATGTGGATTGAACCAATAAACTGAAGAACGAATCAAGAGACAATTTGCAGTAACAGTTGCATGTCGTAAACGATAAACTAGAACAACTACATCTGCACTGTTATATACATATTCACATTTATACTTATATGTAAGGAACATATACATACTCATCTTTCATCTTACAGAAAAGTTAATTTATGTTTCAATAATATGTAGCTCCTTCGTTTCTTTCTACATGTATTTTCACAGGTGCTCGTAGATATGCAGCCATTGCCAGCCTCCATAAGTCATAAATGAATATATCAAGAAAAAAAAATCCAAAGGATTATCTCATTCAAGCATTTCGTCGAACAGTATGTACGCATCATTTTATAAGAGGCTCATCGCACATACAACTGAAAGGAAATCAAAAAGGTGACAGCAGAGTTTACTTCATCAGTTTTCTTGACTTCTCAAATTACCAAAATTCCCGGAAATCGGTATAATTCAATTTGATTGAAGTTGAGAATTACACAACAAAGAAATATATTCAAAAAAAAAAAAACAAACAAAAAAAAAAAACCCAGAAAATAAAAGCTATTAACAATGAAAATATAATCTACAATCTGAACTGACTCACCTAAGATTCACAGTGGGACTCGAATATTCCGGTGGGCCTTCCTCCGAAGTGGTAGCTGGAAAGAGTTGGAGGCAAAGTCGGAGAAGACAACGGCAAAGGTTTGAAATGATGATTTAGTTGGCCTAATTTTATTTTGGACAAAATGCACTTACACCCCCTATAAAATTTCCATTTTCGTACTTTCCTCCCTAAATATTTGAAAAAAAAGATATTTCCTCTTCGAAATATTATTTTGGTTGCACTTTGCCCTAACTAGCCATTTTCTGGAGGGCATTGTCACTTTTTGGCAATTTTAGTTCAGACGTCAAATTTGGCTGTTAAGTTGGATAGAGTCGTTACGTGCGCCCCTCGTGATGTCCATTCGGCAGCCAGAAAATTAGCTGGAAGACACCTAATCACTCTTCATTAATAATATCTCCCATATTAATTCAGCTCACCACCAAAGAGCTACAAAAATAACTTCTAGAGTCATAATTGAAAAGCTCAAACCTAATTTCTGACCTAAATTTCTTCCTCCACCTAATTAATAGTTGTTAAACATGTTTGGCAGTCCGCTATCAACGAGAAAGGAATATAGAGAAACGAATTTTAACGGCCGAATCAAACTTGTCAAAAGGTGGTAGCTAGGCTTAAGGACAACAATTGTGGCGGAAAAATGTTTTAGGATGAAAATCATTTTAGGTGGTAAGTATAGGGACCAAAAGTGTACTTTTTATTGACCAAAAGTGTACTTATTCCTATATATTTGTGTTTGTGTGGATATATATATATGGTATATTATGGCTACCCCTGAGATAATGTCAAATTACGAAAAAGTCTATTTTGTTTGGGTAATTACAATTATCCCCTTAACTATGAATCTGCTTACATGTCCATTCTTTTGGTGTCAAATTCAACATAATCTTCTAGATTCCGTGGAGTGTTCTCTAGTTTGTACTCGTTTTGTGCAAAAATGCAGTTTTTGATGCACCACAATCTGATATTTATAAACCAAGAGACACATCTTATGATCATCTTGTTTCAAAATGTGAAGCTCGGATAAGGTAAACTAGGCAAACTGGAGAATATTCCATATAATCTGAAAGATTCCATTAAATTTGACACCGCAAGTATGGACGTTGATCCGTTCGAAAGAAACACGATTCCGAATCTTCTCTGTAGAGGTTGGTTATCCTGCAAAAAAAGAAACCGGACTGACGCCGGAGTTAGCACTCCGACGGTCAAGTCAATAGTGGTTCACGTGTAACTTCGTAGGCCTTCTTTTAGACATGCGTATTGCTTTATCAAAAAATGTAAAAAACCTGGTCTCTTGGGCGGGCTTATGCCTCCTTTAATATTGCTTGGCAGGCCCATTCCACCAAGGCCCTAAATCCAGGCCAAACGGCCATACAACGTACTTTACCTGCTGGAGGACGGGCGCTGGCGGACGGGCGGCCCGGATCATGATGACTCTTCTAGTGATCAGTCTCAGGCGTGTTGGGCTTTTCCTGATTTTTCGGCCGCACCTAGTCACCCGGGCATTAAATGTCACTGTCAGAGCATTTAATGCGCCGCTGGGTTGTTGCCAGAGCATTTATGTTTTCCTTCCCGTACTTGCTCGGTCCCTCCGCCTTCGATAGATCTCTTGAGCAACGCTAGCCCCTTCGGGACCCCAATCTCCTCTTTTGTCGCTTTATTACGGAGTGGGTGTAAGTTTTAAAGACTGGGCTTTCCCTTCTTAGGACATCCTTATCTAGCTAAATTACTATTTAATAAGTTCGGGCCTTCGTTAATGGGCCTTCTGTTTTGGGCTTCTTAGTCCGACAATTGGTCCAAATATAACCAAATATTTATAGTTGAGGGTCGCTTTAATTAACCAAATATAACGGATTTTTTTCGTAATTTAACCTCAGTTCAGGGGTGACCGCAATTTTTCGTATGTGTGTGTGTACTTTCTTTTTCAAATATAATACAACTGTGGATAGGTTGAACACAAATCACAGAATCCTTAGCTCTCCCTCCCTACTTTCTGGAACAGTAAAAAAATTGCTTTAGAAATCATATAATGACTAACACTTCATTTAAAAAAGACCGATTTCTTTTTTTTCTGTATTATTATTGTATTTTTTTTTTTTTATAATGAAGAAACCTACAACCAACTCATATAAGTATACTAGATAAACATACCTACAGTCTCGTATAATAAATTACAAGAATCGTGTAACGAAGGATTTTTTCCTTTATTGTACACACAGAACACGTTAGTTGTTATACGTCTTTTAATTGTCTCTCCCCCACAAGAGTGTGTTGATGCATTATTTTTCTATTTAATTCTCTGAACTTTTCTATTTAATCGGTTCTAAAATCAATTTAAGCTAAATGATCAATAGATATTTTTGCAATTTTCTGAACTTTGGGGCCCCTAAATATTAATTTTATAATGTCTTAGTTAATTATTTTTATTCTAAAATAAGAACCAATATTCATTAGTGTATTCAAGTTTATAAATATTTATGAAGTCTATTTGCTATAAAGATTATATGTGAAGGAAGTGAACCAGCAAATCATATTGTTAATTTTGAATTTTTTTCCACATTTTTAGCTACTTTATATTCATATATTTCAAAAAATATTTCGGGGGCACCGCCCCTGAACCCCCGTAATATTTTATTTCATCATATTTAGAAAAATATTATTTATATTTTTTTAATACATTCAATTTCGAACACCCCATTAGTAAAAGAAAAAAATGGTTTATCAAATAGAGGGCCCAGCTTTCAATTGTTCTTTAAACCTCGCATAGGGCCCCCAAATTCTCAGGAACGGGCCTGGGTATGGTGGTTATGGCGGCGGCTGTGGTGGAGGTGGTTATGGCGGTGATCGTGGTGGAGGTGGTTTTGGATTCGACCTCACTCATATACGAATCAAGGTTTACGAAATTTAGAATCGAGGTTTGGGAGGTAAGCTGCCAACCCTCGAACCCGAGAACGAATTGGAGCCGATTTAGATCTATTTTATGCTACCGACTTCCAAACAACAGTGTTTCGGAGTTCGAGTGCGGGTCGGAGGTGGGCTCGACTATGCCGTTTTGGAGTAGAAATCGAGATTCATGTTTTCTGATGACGAAGACGTCGGAGATGGTGTGAAGCTGGTCTAGTGAATTTTTTTTGTTTATTTTGGAGAATATGACTTTTTTGAAAAGGTTAAGGATTGAATTGAATTTTTTTTGAAAACTTCATTTTGGGGCATATTGAATTTCGGGGCGAATCTGTAATTTTTGAAATTTATAATTTAAAGGGCATTTTGGTCCTTTCGGATGAAAAATACACCCCCAGTCGCACAATCCGCGTGTGGAGCACACGATAAGCTGGCAGGGCCCTTGTTGCCTTTGACTAATTTTCCTAGAGGGGTTATTGCTATTTGTTTTAACACGACGGTTTTTTCTGCAATTTTAGATTACAGGGGGTTGGTTTTTGCAAAAAAACCCTTAAAACTAATACCAATTTTTTTCTCACTTAATACTAAACAAATAAAAATTAGATAATAAATAGGTAATGACATAAATACCCTTAATGAACATCACTACCATAAAAATATTAAAAATCTCATTTTTCTTTCTTCAATACCAAACACATAAAACCCCTAAAACTGATCTCCTTATTCACAAATCCCTTGTCCTCCACCTTCCCCACAACAAACCCTCCTAATTAAATAATCTCAAAACTAAAGATATTAATACCTCACACAACCTGCAAAATGGAGTCAAACGACAACAAAATGGTAGTTTACGACAAAGGAGAACACATTAAGGTATGTATCAATGTCTTTTTTGAGCTTCGAATTCGATTTTGAATTCTTTTTTTTGTCTGAAACCCGCCGACAATTTTCGACACATACATGTCGATGTTTTTGTCAATTTTTGATAAATACATCATAAAATCGCAAATGTTAAACAACCATGTCTGACTCAACAACCGAAAATCATACATAAGCAATCTCACGGCCGAGAGCTCGATAAATAGACAGTGATCCCGTAAATATAGCAAACTAAACCACGATCCGTCTTTTCTTATTGATCAACCTTTTTAGCGAAAAGAAAAACAAAAGAATCAATCATTGGCAACAACAACAATTTGTTTACCAATATTGTGGCCTTGAAATATGCCAACAAAAGCAGAAGCTGCAGTCTCCAAACCTACACTCACATCTTCGACATATATTACCTTCTTCTCCTCCAACATCTTTACGACCCAATCAACATACTTAGGAATTATTTGCTTGTGGTCTAATTCAACGAAGCCTCGCATAGTGAGACGTTTTTCAATTAGGCTAAACATATTACGAACGCCTTCACTTGGTCCAATCAAATTGTATTGCGAAATTGACCCTGAAACCGCAATTCTTCCGTGGATGTTCATTTGAAGAAGCACTTCCTCCAACATTTGCCCTCCTACGTTGTCAAAGTATATGTCGATGCCCTTTGGGAAATACCTTCAAGAGCAAATACGCACGGAAAAATCTTTAGAATTTTATTTTTATTTGAATAATTTGAAGGGAATTGATTTCAAATTCCTAATAACAAATTTATCGAACTTGTTCGGAATTTGGATTATCTATGGTTAACACTTTGTTTGATATTTTCTATAAATAACCTCTAATATAATAAAGCAAAGGATATTACTCGAACATACCTCTTCAAATTTGAGCGCAAATCTCCTTCTTTGTAGTTGAAAGCATCATCGAACCCAAGCTTCGTCTTTAATAGATCAACCTGCCAAGAAAAAAATCTGCTAGCATTTAGCCTCATTTGGTTGGGAATATTAATTAGCCATTATAAACTAGATAATTGGATTTTGTTTGGCAACCAAACGAGGCCTTACTATATTGCTCAATTTTTTTTTTCTTTCTTTAACATTTTAGAAAGAAAAAAAACTTCGCATCAAAAGGCGAAAATCCCTCGCCCCTAGGAACCCCATCCCTTGCCCCGACAAGTATTAAATGGAGGAATGTAAATCATGGTAACACAAGGGCCCGTTAGGGTAGCGGACCCGGACTTGGTGCCAACAAGGAACCAACCCTTATTGGAGTTGAAAGTCTCCACTGCGGCTTGCAGGAGTCAATCCTAGGACCTTGTACCAACTTACCATCCCCGAAACTAGTTGAGTTACACCCATGCGGACGAAAAAAAAAAGAAAAAAAAGAAAAAAACAATAGGAAAAGCTCACACACTTGATCTATGTTTATATCATTGAGGGTAATTAAGGAAGATGTAAGATTCAAGAATTTGAAATTAATGAATTTTGAATCAACCACAATAACACAAAAAAATAATTAATGCTAGAATTTTGAAGTATATTGTAAAACGAAATCATCCAATACAATCAAGTTCGATAGATTTATTATTACGGGTTTAAATTATTTAGCCTGAAATTAAATTTATGCCGCTCGAAAGTTTCGGATTGTAACCGTACCTTTTCGTTAGTGCTGGTACTTCCAACAACATAGCAACCCATCATTTTCGCGAATTGCCCGACGAGATGACCGACCCCACCTGCAGCCGAAGAAACATAAACTGTTTCTCCTCTCTTCGGGGAGCATATTTCATTCCACCCCACGTATGCAGCAATTCCCGGCATGCCTGCACATTTACAATTAATTGGCTTTACAATTTTGCGCACGCAAACCCACAAAATTGAGATCGAACCCAAATACGACTAGTACCATTCAACCACGTCACCGATTATGGTTTCACGGTTACTCAACTCGTTCAATCAACCGCCGGTCGTTAACTAGTAGTTCACACGTGCATGATCATTGCGCACATTTAGGGGTCTAGCTCACGAGCTTTTATTTTTATTTTTATTTTTTTAATTATTATTGTAAATATAAATAATAATAATAATAATAATAATAATAATAATAATAATAATAATAATAATAATAATAATAATAATAATAATAATAAAATTATAACAGTAAATTACACTCACACCTCAGAGGTATGCTAAAATAACTTTAAGGTCCTTGTGGTATTGATAATTATACTCGTCCCTGAAACATAGTTAGAAACAACAAAGAGTTCTTCCCATAGAGTTCTTCTAATAATGGACAATTAGTTTTAGGAAGTGGTGGATACAACAAAGAGTTAGGGGGTGAAACGTCAAAGTAATTTTTTTTGTAGATGACCGTTTTCTCTTTCATTTTTGCAGATGGACCCCCTTGAAGTTTGACACACGCGGTTGAGTTAACGTAAAAACTAACTAAAGTTACCCCATAAACCACAAAGGAGTTTATGTGCTGATATTACGAGTACATGTGGGTCATTTGCAAAAGCTTGTAACAACAAGGGGGTTAGGTGTTGTTTACCCTTATTTATTTCTTAAAGTTGTGGGTGTCATGCAAAATCAACTTTAACTGATAAATGCTATATTTATCAGGTAAAATACGAAAATACCCGGAACTTAGGCTAAATTACAAAAACCACCTTCACCTATCCATAATTACCAAATTCCCTCCGACGCTTGTTTTCGTCTTACGCCAACCGCCTGAGACTAATTTATGGCTTTAAGAAGTAGCGTAAAGAAATGTCACGCCTGCAGTGGGGCATAATGGGTATTTTTCGGGAAATAATATTCCTTGGAATCAAAAATATTTCGTGAAAAGTCACACCGTTAGGGGGTTGGTGTAAGATGGAAATAAACGTCGGGAATATTTTGGTAATTATGGATCGGTGGGGTTGTTTATCAAAATTTAGCCTAAGTTTGGGGTGTTTTGTAATTTACCCAAATTCATAAGTTGATCATGTGTTTGCAAAATGAATTGTCATCTAATTATTTTTTCATCCTTGAAATATGTAATTTGATAAAAAAATTAATTTTTTTTTACCTAAGATGCCAGCATAGTAGGAGAGAGGCAGTTGTGTGTAACTGTTGTGTATCTTTGTTAACAGCTTTTCAGGATCAAAATTCCAACTGTAATTTTCCCACCCTGTAATTCCCCATACATAATCTCCTTCCTTCAGCTCATTATCACTATTACCAGACACCTTTATTACTTTAGCCACACCAAATCCCTTCACCACCTGCACATTAATTAATTAATTATTAAAAAAAGATCAAAAAAAAATAAAATTAAATCAGAGAATAAATAGATGTATACAGTGGCGGATCCAGGAATTTAGCCAAGGGTGTGCGAAAATTTACGGGGGTTTGGGGGCAGCGCCCCCGATTTTTTTTAATAATAATAATACCAACATAAAATAATATTAATATGTAGGAAAATCGAAATTTTAAGATCAATTGCAATTTTTTGGAGAATTTAGGAAAAATGAGAGAAAATGTTAGAGTATAAATGGATTTGTTGATAGAAAATGTTAGAATATAAATGGATTTGTAGAGTTTTGGAAAAGCTATCAAAAATTTGATGATTTTGAGGCTCGAACCTATGACATTTCATACAAAATTGAAGCTACTTACCAGGTGAACTACCAATTACTTTTGTTTAATTATCACATATAATATAATATAACATATATATATTTGGAATTTTTTTTTTTTTAATTTCAAGGGTGTGCAGCTGCACACCCTAGACCTATAGTAGATCCGGCCCTGGATGTATAGATATATATATATATATATATATATATATATATATAGAGATATATACCTACAGATCCAGGGAGAATGGGAGTTTGAATGAAAAGCGATTTTGTGCGAGGGCGCAAAAGTTGGCAAAGGTAAGGATCGCAAGCTAA